ATGATATGTCGGAAATGCTCTGGTGTCGAATTCATAACGGATACCAATCGCTGATGGTCGACGTGGTTTACAGAGCCCCTGCAGCACCTGGCTCACACCTATTACGTTCCTTGCGAACCCACAGCAGAGGAACAAACTGTCTCCTTATGGGTGACTTTAACGTCCCCGACATAATCTGGGACCTTCTTCACAGTGATCTCGCCTGACTCCTTTGAAGTTGATCTCCTTGATACCGTGCACGAGTGAAACCTGACACAGCATGTCTTGACACCAACGCGGATAGTCCCTGATCAGACACCAAACATTCTCTCACTTCGGCACCATCTGATGTCTCAGACCTAATGATCCTTCAACCTCTTGGGAAGAGTGATCACTGTACAGTCTGCTTTTCGTGGACACGACGTCTCACACTCCACGATCAGGGGACACTGCGTCGAAATTTCTGGCGCACTGACCAGCCCAGATTAAGAACTACTGCAAGTAACATGGACTGGAGTATTCCGCAATCCTTGGAGCTTGATGACGCATGGGAACGTCTGCAATCTATGATGATGCGGCTCATTGAACGGTTTGTCCCAAACTGCAAGAGCAGACCACCATACAAAGGACCCCCATGGATTGGTAAAGAAGTAAGATCCCTAATGAAAAAACCACGAAAACTATGGGGTCATTTCAAGAGCACAAGACTGACATCAAGCTACTTAGAGTACAAAACTGTCAGAAACCTGTGCACCCTGAGAAAAGGAGACAAAAGATTACAATACGAACATGGACTGGCTGTGGTATGTATGTATGTATGTAATCTCAACAGTCTAGTAACTAGACATAGAGCTAACAAAGCCATGGAAATCAGTGGATAAGAGACAGTCATTGCGTCATAATCATCGTGGCATGCTAGTTGAAGGTGGGCAACACACTTCAGCTAATATGCCGCAACAAAATGGAACATTTTGACAAAATACAGAACTAAACATTTTTAGTTTGTTTGTCACACGCCTATTTTTCTCTTTTTTTGTCATTTTCAATGTTGGTAGTATTAAACATGTGAATCAGTACAACACTGTACACAATTCTTCCACTGATTCCGGTTGCGGGCCATGTCTTCAAGAGTCCTAAGACATTGGCACTCCTCATCTTTGGGTCCCCATCCTGGAAGACGTACGGGTCCAACAGTGGCTAGACGCGACGTCAGCGATTTCATGTGCTGCCGCCAAGTGGAAGGCTGACCACCACGCGGTCGTTTCCAGCCAGGTCCTTGACGAGCGAATAGAGCGCGACGCGGTAGACACTCAGGTGCCATGCGTAGGACATGACCGAGCCATCTTAACTGGCGCAACAAAACCAGTTTGTTGATGGAAATACTTGCATTCCCCAAGATGCGACGTCGAACGTCATTACTGGTAACTCGATGTTGCCACCGAACACGAGCGATCCTCCTTAAGCAACCGTTATCGAACGCAGAAAGACGACGCATGTCTTCCACGCGAATCGGCCAGGACTCGCTCCCATACAACAATACTGAGCGAACTGATGCGCTGTAAACTCGGCCCTTTAGTGAGAATGAGACGTCGCGACGACGCCACAAGTGCCTCCGATTGACAAATGCTGATCGAGCTTTAGCGATACGAAGCGAAACTTCTTTGTTGATAATGCCGTCAGCGGCAACACAGCTCCTAAGGTAGACGAAACTATCTACCTGTTCAAGTTGTGCACCTTGGAGAGTGAGCACGGGAGCAGGTGAAAGCCAATCCTTGAGCAGTACTTTACACTTCGATGGGGCGAAGCTCATGCCATACTTAGATGCTTCAACCGCCAAACAATCCAGAATGAGTTGCATACCTTGAGGATCGTCACCAAGTAAGGCGATATCATCAGCATAATCTAAGTCGGTCGCGCGTTCATCCGGTAGAAGCTTTAAGCCAAAATGTTGGAAACCTTCTAGAGCATTCGATAGAACGTCGTCGATTGCGAAGTTGAAGAGGAATGAGGACATAGGGCAGCCCTGTCGCACACCGCTATTGACAGCGAATTGCGAAGAAAGCTTGCCGTAGACCTTCACTCTGCCGCATGTATGAAGGTAAAGTGCTCGTAAGATGGCGGTATATTTCTCTGGCACCCCGTTCTTTAGTAAGCAACGTCATAAAGCAGGTCGATCAACGGAGTCAAAAGCAGCACGTATGTCTGGGAATGCAACGATAGTGGGCCTGTGGTAAATGTGGCGATGTTCAAGGAGTTGGCGGAGCGTGAAGATTTGATCCACGCATCCCCGCTGCCTTGCGGACAGGCTTTTGAGCCAAAGACTTTGGATGAGGACCCTAGTCGTTCTCCTGTCTAGGTCTGGGCGCCCTGGCAGTATCCCAGCCCACATACAACCATGACATTTTCTTCAAACCTAAATTTCATCCTGCATCGGCCGTCGCGCAGATTATCAAGGGTCGCCTTATCTGCTGCATACAGCAGAGCGGATAAGCGAAAGCATGCTACTGCTGGCGCCTCCCTTCTTTCTTTTCCACCTTTTTCTCTTACTCCCATCCCGGCCCCCATTACTAACCTTCCTTCTATAATTCCCAGCTTAATTGACAGCAACCGACGTGCTACTGGAGTAGAACCATCTGCAGCCACCATCCCACAGCACCTATCGGACGCCTATAGGCAAAAGTCCCTTATAAGGTCACGCTGTCCCGTTACCATGGCGACATTCAACGTCCGCACTCTAAGACAAACAGGTCAGCAGGCTGCACTCGCACGCACCTTAGACACACTGGGTGTTGATGTGTGTTGTGTGTCCGAAACTAGGATTAATGACCCTAACGGGGTTATTGAATTGACTGCACCCGGCTTATCCTCTCGTTATTGGTTGCACGCATCCGGAGACGCCGATGCGGCACTCACGGGTCAAGCTGGTGTAGGTATCATTCTCAGCTCCAAGGCTGAGCCATCGTTGGTTGATTGGATTCCGGTGAACAGCCGTTTATGTGCAGCCCGTTTGACTACATCAGCTAAGGTGAATTCGCGAAGTAAAACAAAACGCTGTTTGTTTGTGATTTCTGCTTATGCTCCCACGGACTGCAGTTCTAATGCAGTCAAGGACACTTTCTATCACGAACTGAACACGCTGCTACGCAGTGCTACTAGTTCAGATATTGTAGTACTTGCAGGGGATATGAACGCACAAGTAGGGCGTCTGAGCTCTTCAGAAGCTCAGCTGGGTGGTAAGTATGGACTTAACGCCGAACGGACTGACAACGGCGAGCGTCTGCTGCAACTGTGTGCGGAGCACCAGTTGTTTCTTACTAGCACTGCTTTTAGACACAGTGGGCGCCGAAGTGCCACTTGGCGTCCACCTGTAGCTGGCCAGAGATGGACCCAAATTGACCACATAGCCATAAGTTACAGGTGGCGCGGTTCCATTCTGGATTGCCGCTCGTACTGGAGTACCTGTGTCGACTCTGATCATGCCTTGGTGCGCTGTCGTTTCTCCATGAACTTTACCGGAAGGCGCACAAAGCGTCTCCCCCGATTGGCAACGGAGAAATTGTCCCAGCCCTCGGTCAGGCAAGCCTATCAAGAAGCACTGCATAGCGAACTCTCGCTGTCTTGTCCTAATGACACTGAACTTCAGTGGAATAGGATCTCGGCCGCTATGCACGACGCAGGAGCATCTGTTTGTGGCACTATCAGTCGTCATCGCACCAGTCACTGGATATCCGAGAGGTCCGTGAACCTTTTGGAAGCTAGAAGGCACCTCCCGGCTGGTTCTGAACACAATGTGACCAGACGGGCTATTAGGCGTGAACTAAAGCGGAGCCTACGTGCTGACAAGGAAGCCTGGTGGACCAGTCGGGCTCAAGAAATGGAGGAGGCAGGAGCAGTAGGCAATTACCGGAAGCTCTTCCAGCTAATCCGCACCACTGGTCCGAGGAAACCAGGCGTCAGTGAGACAATCAGAGACAGCGCGGGTGCGCTGATACACAATAATGAGCGCCGTATGGCTCGTTGGGCTGAGCACTTTGAACATCAGTTCAGCTGGCCCCCTGCTCCCGGACCTCTTCCTACTCAGGTGATGCAGGACGAGCCATGGACGGTTAGTTTAGAGCCCCCGTCGGAGGCCGAGGTCCGAAACGCGATCACAGCCCTCAATCGTTTTCGTGCCGCTGGCCCGGATTCCCTACCACCTGCACTATTTAAGGATGGAGGTGAGGTCCTCAGCAAAGCACTGACCTCCCTATTCGAACGTATCTGGAACGAAGAGAGTGTGCCGGCTAATTGGAGCGAATCGATTATAGTGGCAATATACAAAAAGGGCAGTCGCACAGACTGTGCGAACCACAGGGGTATTAGCCTAACGCCAGTTGTGACAAAATTACTGGCCTCGATTATCGTTCGTCGTCTCACTGCAGAACGGGAATCTCGGAGTAGAGAAGAGCAGGCCGGTTTTCGCCCAGGACGTGGCTGTATAGACCATATATTTACTTTGCGGCAGGTGCTAGAGCAGCGCCACGCATACCGCAGACCGACAATAGCTGTGTTCCTCGATTTCAAGAGTGCGTTCGATTCAGTCGATCGATCGATTCTGTTCGAAATACTTGCGCGAAAAGGTGTTCCCACGAAATATGTGAACATCCTTCGTGCTCTATACTCGAACACTAGAGGCCGCGTCAGGGTCTATGGTGCCCTATCGGATAGCTTTTCGACTACAAGTGGCGTTCGACAGGGTTGTCCGATTTCCCCAGTTTTTGTTCAATTTCGTCGTGGATTCTATCATGGAGTGTTCCCTTGCGGAATCTCACGATGTAGGTGTTGAAGTGCTGCCTGGTGAACGGTTAGTTGATCTAGATTATGCGGACGATATCGTCTTGCTTTTCGACAATGTTGAGGCGGCACAATCAACCCTGAATAGTCTATCCAGAGTGGTCCCATTATTTGGTATGCACTTCGCACCTTCAAAGTGCAAAGTGTTGCTGCAGGACCACCAGCCACTCGATGACCCCTTTGACGCTTGCTGAGGAGGAACTTTAGATGGTTGATCAATTCACTTAGCTTAGCAGCTGCATCAAAATGTTGGGCGCATAGAAACTGACGTCAGCTCACGCATTGCAAAGGCCAGAGCTGCCTTCTTGAACCTGCGTCATCTTTGGCGACAGAAGGGAGTTTCCCTCCGTCTGAAAGGCCGTGTATACAAGGCCACAGTGAGGGCCGTTCTGCTTTATGGTAGTGAGACTTGGCCCCTTCGGTCTGAAGATCTGAGGCGCCTTCAAGTCTTTGATCATCGTTGTTTGCGAAGCATTGCTGGTGTCGGATGGCACCAGCGTGTCCGCAACGATGATGTGCGTAGGCGAGTACTAGGTGGTGATGATCATGCTAGCTCGCTAGAACAACAGATAGCACTGAATAAGTTACGTTGGCTCGGGCACGTGCTACGCATGCCTGGTCACCGCTTACCTAGGAGGGCCTTGTTCAGTCTACCAGGTGTAGGATGGCGCAAGGCTCGAGGTGGACAGAAGTTGACTTGGCAGCGGGAAATGAAGTCACTGACGACCAAACTGGGTGCCGTTGGTCCGTCTCGCCTTCCGGGTTGGAGCCCACGTGACTCACCTTGTGCTTGGCTCGAGACTTTACAGGACATGGCTCGCAACCGACACCAGTGGCGCGTCTGCTGCCGTCTCCTAATTGGATTGTCTGTTTAAAGTGTGTTTGGTGCTGAGTTATCTGCGGGGTAATGGCTGATTATGACGCGTGGCAGTGAAAGCCGCAAGGAAGCTGTCTCGCCGATGCCGCCTTATCTTTGCACGATAGCCAGCTGTTTGTGACGGAATGTTGTTAACACAAGGTGTAGGCGCCTTGACCCTGAATGTTTGCTTAGGGCATTAAGGTTTTCAGGTAAGTCCCCCTTCTCTCCCTCTTCTTATTCTTTATTTCATAGGTCCTCATGGTTGTATGGCAGCGAAGCATCAGTTCAAATGGCTGATGTACTGCTGTTGATGATGATGATGATGATCTGCCGGATGTATGAAGGTAAAGTGCTCGTAAGATGGCGGTATATTTTTCCGGCACCCCATTCTTTAGCAAGCAACGCCAGAAAGCAGGTCGATCAACAGAGTCAAAGGCGGCAAGTATGTCTAGGAATGCAACGATAGTGGGCCGGTGATAAATGTGGCGATGTTCGAGGAGCTGAAGATTTGATCCAGGCATCCGCGGCAGGGACGGAAACCAGCTTATTCTTCACGGTAGGACGATTCACGTATTGGGAATAGTCTGCGGAGCAGAATGGATGCCAATAGCTTGGAGGCAACCGTAATAAGACTGGTCCCGCGATGATTAACACATGAAGGACGAGCGCCTTTCTTGAAAATCGGGACAATAACTGATTCGCCCCAAGAGGAAGGCACTTTCCCTTCATACCAGATCTTTGCGAACAGCGCGATCAGCTGGTAAATGATCGCCACGCCACCGTAGTTGAACAGCTCTGGAGGAAGTCCGTCTGAGCCAGCAGCCTTGAACCACTTCAAGCGTCGAATCTCGAGGCAAACTTCCGTTTCGCTGAGTGGATTCAGTGGGACGGGCCATGATGGACAACAAGGTGTACCGCATGTACTGATGGATGGTGGAGGCCAGTTGAACTGCGAGTGAAAGTGCTCTGCCCAGCGGTCCATACGCCTCTGCTGGTTGGTGATCGGAGACTCATCCACCTCACAAATGACCTCACTGACACCAGGTTTCCTGAGGCCAATGGACCGAATGAGTTGGAAAAGCCTGTGAGTGCTGCCAGAGAGGGCAGCGGTTTCCATCTCTAAAGCACGCTCAGACTACCATGTCTCGCAACTTGAAGTCCGTCGACAACACCAACAAACTGTATCGAAACTGACTGCGCATGCTCTGGGCGCTGAAACGCAGCTTCTGCACTTGGTCTGAGGACGTCGCCACTCGCCTCTTTTCTTCCATCGTCAGACCAATGGTAGAGTACGGCTCGCCTGCATACTGTCCGATCACTCGCGGCGAAGCGCAAAAGATCGAACGAGTACAACACATCGCCACCAAGTTGATCCCTAGCTTGAGAGGC